AATATCGATTGTATGTTACCCACCCCTTATGTAATACCCTCTCGGGGGTCTTTAAGGAAATAAAAATGAAATGATATGAAATGAAAAACACAACTGCCTTTCCAGTGTAGCACTGTCTCTGATTGTTTTGTTATTCAAAGATTTATTCATTGACAAATCAGCTATGTGTGATAACACACAAAATATATTTTATAACCTATTTATTTCAGCATGATTTCCGGTAGGCAACGTCATCTTAAAAAATCAACATGTGGGCATTTTAGAGGCCATTGTTTGTTGTTGGCTCGCAGCAGAAGTTTGAGACACCATCTTGGAAATGAGTGAGGAGAAGGTGTAGCTCGCTAAGAAAAAACTCACTCAAGCCAACAAAAGCAACTGTTGGGCATTATTTTTTTTTCTTAAAATTTTCTATGAGCTTATGTTTCAAGCAGATGCCCGCATTAAACGTTGCACCGAACCAATAAAATGGCAAAATCTAACACCACCAAGACGCCACTCCGATGCTACCTACTCCGCCGGCAGGGACAGGGCCGACCAGTATGCCCGTCACTCAAAAACTCGTTTTTTCCCTTTTTTGTGAAGTGCCCGCAATGGTGGCTATATTTCTCATTCATCATAGGGAAACGTGGAGAGTCCTCAATTTGGTGTTTTTTATTCGTTGAGCACTCTCTGTTCACAGTCTCTTTCACCAACTTCTTGCATGCCATGGAGCTCGCAGAGTGCCGAGCTGTTAATCATACTCCACGAATATGTAGTCATGCAATGAAATCTTGACCCAGTTAAGGGCAGCTGGTTAGACTAAGCAGACTCTGACAACGCATACGTCGTGCGAACGTAATTCGATTTTGTGCGCCTTGTTTTAACACCCACATGGATACCTAGAAAACCCGAAATGGGGGCATGAATTCATGAATGGGTCAAGGAAGCACTCTTAACAGTGCAACTACATATATGAATGTACATAAATCTCTGACCCAGTCCACTACTACATGCATTCAGGTTGTTGTTCATTCACTTGCCTGTGTAGCACCCGCTGGGGCCCCGCCGTGGTGGTCTAGTGGCTAAGGTACTCGGCTGCTGACCCGCAGGTCGCGGGTTCAAATCCCGGCTGTGGCGGCTGCATTTCTGATGGAGGCGGAAATGTTGTAGGCCCGTGTGCTCAGATTTGGGTGTACGTTAAAGAACCCCAGGTGGTCCAAATTTCCGGAGCCCTCCACTACGGCGTCTCTCATAATCATATAGTGGTTTTGGGACGTTAAACCCACATATCAATCAATCAAGCACCCGCTGGGAGGAAGTAGCTTTAAAATAGGAGAAAAAAAAAAGAGAAAAGTGAGCCCCACAAATGTCTGTAGCTAAGTGTAACACCTCAGCAGTTGCTGGCAAAAAAATTGGATAAGGAGGAATTAAAAGGGATAGAGTGAAAAAATTGAGTAAAGATTGGGGCACGGTAGAAGTAGTCCGAAAATAGGGCACTGCTCGGCGTGAGCTATACGACACCAGAAGTTCACGGATGACAGGCCGATCAACAAGAGCTACGCTAACCTGACCTGCTACCTCCTTCAGCCCATGCGAGACCTTGTGTATACAGTCGAGCCCGCTTATAACGAACCTGAGCGTGACGCGGCATCCGTTCGCTATATCCAGAAGTTCGTAGTAAATGAAACACAGCTTTTAAAAAAGTTGCGAGGGAAAACAAACTTTTTTTGCCCCAAAAAGTCCGTGATGCATGTGTTTCGAAGAGTAGAAACGATAAGAGCGGTCTCGAGTTCATTTAAAACGGCAGGCTACTCGTTCGCCGAGGCCCGTGGCATAAGCTGCATGAGGCTCTGGCTCCAAAGCTTCGCCGTTCTCGCAATCCGATTCCTCCAAATCACTCTCGCCACGTACTTCATTCACAATGCCCCAATCCGTGGACGGTTCCGTAGTGTCGGCATCATCATCGGCCATAAGTAAATCATCGCAACAGATGTCCCCCCCCCGCTCTCCCAGGTCTGAGTTGACGACGCACTGCCACAAATCGCCGCGACAGTGGTCTTGTTCGGAAGCTTCAGGCTCGGCATCGGGCCCGAAGATCGATGAAGTCGGCCTCGCGAAAATAGTTTCCCGCACATGTAGCCGTCACCGCCGCCCACGAAATATTCACCATCTCCACAGCTGAATACCGAGACGCCCGAAGGGGCAAGTTGGCTGCCAGGTGGTCAACAGCTTTGAGCAAGCGCTTCGCAACGCGGCACTTAATGCGCGGATTATGCTCAAGCCAAGTGTTTTCACTTTCGACGTTTTGTTGAGGGGCAGAAAAAGCGTGCTAGTCCTCCCGTCGGCCATCATGACCACACACGCACACCAAAAGCGAGCAAGATGCGCACTCGCGTGGAACAGCTCTGGGCGCGTTTCCAGTCGGAAAACGAAACTAATTCGAGCCAGCGTGGCGGGCGTCACTGAGCGTTGGAGACGGGCGAAAGGGTTGTGATCAAGAGAGAGCAGACTTGCGAGAGAAGGGCAAGGAGTGCGACAAAGAGAGGGGAGGATGCGGCGTAAGGGCGACCTTGAAAACCAAAACAAACGGGAAGGAGGCAGGTTGGGTAGCTTGCTTGAAAGGTCCGCGAAACTCACACGTAGAAAAACTTTAAAAGAGTGCCAGCACGCGCAGAATCCAAAACATGGCCACCTCGATCGGTGCGCGTGGCGGTGTCCGAAGAATCGGTGGCCGTGATAAAAAAAATCGTCTTGTTGCGCAAGCGGGTTTGCGTGGCCTCACGAACTTCGATGTTTCGCGATTCATTCCATGCAAATTAACAGCCGTTATAGCACATCCACACACGCGTGGAAGGCATGCTGAGTTGAATGCGAAGTGAGCGAGAACAAGTCCTAAACACGATACGAATGGCAAATTGTCAGAGTCAGTGGGGTAGCGTACACGCGTGCACTAGACGCAGACTATCGGATACAGTCGGTGGCCGACGATGTTGGCAAATGGTTTGGTCAGTCCAGGCCGGTGACGCCAACGACAGTACCAGCGATCAAAAACAGGGTACGTGGCCGACCGGTCTTTGAAAGATTGGTGGCAGTGTGAAAACACGGGCCTCGCCTGGCGATGCGGGCTGCTCAGAGTAGCGGGGGGACAAAGGACGCAGGGGTGCGTAACAAAAGTGGTCGGGGAGAGCAGCAACTAGGGGGGTGCAGAGGCAGAATCGGCGTTCAACAATAAGAATGTATGGGCACCTCGCCGATGCCTGATCGGTGGTCGAAATTGGTTTCCCGGGAAGTCGGCAGTCCGCTGACTCCGTTCGCTGTAACCGATCAGCGGCGCTCGGAGACGTTCGTTGTAAGTGCAATTTCGTGCCATTGAACCAATGTATATTTTGACGGTCACGCGGATATTGTTCGTTTTAAGCGAAAATTCATTTTATGTGGGGTCTTTATATGTGGGCTCGACTGTATATGGTAGTGACACCTTCTCTTTTTTTCCTGGATGCAGTGGCAGGTTCAACATCCTGGTGGAACACCGGTGTGTGGCACGCTTTCGTGCACTCAGATGGTGAACCTGCCACCAAATCAAGAAAAAGGAGTAAGTGGGGGAAATTCTGTGCATAATAATCGAGGTCTTGCACGGGATAAAGACAGTAACAAGTCAGGTTGGCATAAATGCTGCACCCGACAAGCTAAGTCACTTGTGTAAGCTGACGTACCCTGCCATTCAAAAGCCAAAAGAGTGCCAGAAAAAGCACTCAAATCTTTTTGTTGCCATGCACTGAAGCGTGGTATTCAGTTTACTACTGACGTGACGAGAAATACACGACCCAAATGGCCCGATATATCAATGACCCCTTGTGGGGGAAGCACACACAGAACGTAGCCCGGTTAAAAATTGCCACTTCTCCACACACTGCAATGTTTGTGGTTTATTATGTACTATAATCAGCTAAAGTCATGTCATCAAAGGGGCATAATGTGTCAGCACACCTTCGATTGTGTTGTTCTTAAATTCCTCAGTCTGCTAAAATCGTCACGTGGCTAGAAAAGTTATGTACAGGGGATCTTTAAAAAAACAACAACTAAACAGTTGCTAGAGAGCTTTTGTCTATTTGTCTGCATGCCTTCTTTTAGCCCATGTTCAGTAGCGCTACCCTCCCATAAGTGATATTAATAGTTGATAGAAAAGCGCTTGATGTCTTGCTATTTTTGTGGTAACGTTGATAGGACATGAATAATTTTGATGACCATTGTGAATGGCTCCTGTTAAAGCATGCACATGATTCAATTTTTCTTCAGCAGCCAAAACACATCAGATCATGAAGATGTGCCCACCAGAAAGGAGTCACCAGATGTGCCCACCAGGAAAGATTCTCAGGATTATCGAGATTACTAGCGACCTTGATTTCGGAGACAACAAGGTGTTCTAAGCAATGTCTTTTTTTGCAAACCTTTGGTTGATTGCTAAGAGACAGTCAGAGCAGGGATACTAATGGTTCATTATACAATGAATGTGGTGCAGGATATTTGTAAACAAGCATTTTTGTAAAATTATTTGTTTCAGCAGTGCTGCCTGAATGGTGTGCAGAACATGTCCCAACATTGTTATAATAATATTTAATGTTTTATCAATGTTGCTTGGATGATTCAGCAATGTTGTTGCAATGTTTTTTGGAAATTCTAATAAAGGAGTACATTATCCACGTTTGAGCAACATTGAAAAACAACAATATGACAATGTTGCAGCAATGTTTTGTGCTACCAGGGTCAGTGCAAACCAAGCTAAGGTGGCAATCGTGCGGAGACGTAGGTGGGTAAATAGATAAATATTGCTACAAAACACTATTGGAGATGAAAAGGGTGACAGCATACAGAAAGAAAACGCTCCCTGACATTCATGTTGACTTGTATCAGCCTAGTATGCCTGGCTCCAGGCGTATGTACACACCCTGTAAGAATACTCTACACGGCTTTTCTCCCCGTAACAATATGTATACAGAAATGCCCAAAGTGCTTTGAGTTCACTAAAAAATTCACTTTTAATGAAGCATGTTGACACTAACCCCAAACTGATTGCATGTTTGGCACTCTATTTAAAACTGAGATTTATAGATTTATTAGATGTATATACATAAAAAGCCCATTGATACATGTGAACAAGGCTGCTATGTGGAGGTCATCAGGCTAGTTTAGCAAAACAGACTCTTGGGCGAGTTATTCAAAAAAAAAAGTTACCTAGGTCAGCAAAAGTTTTGGCTTTTATTATTATATGCAGAAACGGAAAAAAATTAACAAAAAAACCCTCATGGTTTTAAACAGATAGCGCCAATCTTGAGTGAGATGCTGAGCATTGTAATTTCTCAGTTAATTGTCTTGTGAGCGAGCTAAGCACAATGAAAAGTTTAAAAGGTCATGCGTCAGGTGTGGCAAATGAACAAGCACATAGATCAAGCAGTGACATAAGTGTCAAGCAAGAAACTGAGTACCTTTCTTCTAAGGAAGTTATTTGAGACAAGCGATGCAATGCGATGCTTCACTGAGGGTGACACGTGACTCACTTATCATTCTGCAGAATGTCAGCACTTAAAATGCACCGCTGAAAAGATGGTGCTTGTTGCAAGAACTTGAACCAGAGTCTGCTGTGCAGGAGATTCAGCAAAAGGAACACAAGTTGCAGATGCTATCCGAGGCCAAAGGTTTGTCGACAGAGATGATCCTTAAGTAAAAATTTGGTTTGATGATTAGACTAATTTGTCTTGTAAAACGCATTCTACATGGGATGTCCAAGTGTAAAATGGTGAAGGGCAGCTTCAGCTGCGTATAAGCTGAATTAGTAGAGCAGTTTCATTGTTCCCTGTGTTTGTTACCTATTTTTTGTTTTTCTTCAAGGCTGTAGAGCAATTGGCACTTTTACCTATGAAGTGCATAGTTCAATCTAAAAGGGCAGTGTCAGCATCACATATATTTTATATAAAAGCTTTTCTTAGAAGATAATGTCAGCACATGAAGAAGAATTTCCAACTCTCGCACACTGTGCAACTCCATTTTGCAATTCCATTTTTTAGGTTCTGCTCAATGACCTTGTCTAAATGTCACTGGTCTTGCACACGAGATGGCACAGGTTGCAAAGCCATTGTTTTGGCCACTAGGGAGCTGGTGGAGGGGGCAGCCGGGTTGGCTCTGGTTTTCGGTACAACTCAAAGGCAGAACCTCTGTGCTCCCGGTTAGACAGGTCGAGTGCTGAACGTGGTGGCAGGTTGAGGTAGGGACCTCCGTAGGGTGGTGGCTCTTCTGATGCCCCCGACCATGGCCGTGGCCGGGTAGGTTTTGGTGGAGGCACGGGCCGCCCATCTGACAGCCTGCAGGATGATACAAAGTGTTTCAATCGATAATCCACTTGAATTACTTTCATGGCTGATCACTAAAATGGGAAATGTGAAACAGAGAGACAAGTGCTTTATATTTATTTATATATATATATATATATATATATATATATTATATATATATATATATAGGGCTTATATGCAGAAGACTAACTTCGGTTGCTGCAAGGCTATAAGTGTAAAGTAGATGCGCTTTCACATAACAACTTGTTCATTCAGCCGATGTTGCGACGGGAGCCCCGTCTTTTTCAAGGCATGAAAAGCCCTCATGCCTTAAAAAAGACGGGACTCCCGTCCAAACATCGGCTGAATAAACAAGTTGATATGTGAAAGCGCATCTACTTTTACACACACACACACACACACACACACACACACACACACACACACACACACACACACACACACACACACACACACACACACAATATATATATATATATATATATATATATATATTGAATGAACTTGCAGATAGCACATTTGAAAAGGAAATTGTATTTACTAACGCTTCGGCCGTGGCACGGCCTTCGTCAGAGTAAGTAGGTATGATACAATGCAGCCGCTTTTATAGGCTCACGTGATGAACTCTCGGTACAGCAGCTAGGACAATCAAAGTGAAAAATGGTAATCTGTCAGAACCTTGTGTTGACATGACTGACATGCGACGGGTGCATGAATATACAAGTTTCAAATTTCCTTGCGCATCAACACGCGGGGCACAGTATGGTTGGCAGGACATGTAAAAGAGCTCTGAAGTAAAGAAACCACAGTTGACTAATATACATTTTAATATACGCTAAAATATTTTACTAATCTAAGAAGTCATGTTGTTATAGTGCAAGGCAGGTGAGCTTTCCTACGTTTTCATTGATACCTGAACGAATGGTGTTAAATTTGTGGATCAAGAAGTATTCCCTCACTTCCCTATCGTGATTTGTCTTGAAACTGGACTGAATAATAGTGGCCCTAATTTTGTTGAAACCGTGGCCAGGCATACTGACGTGCTTCGACAGCGGTAGATTAGGGAGGCTTACGGCATGTGCACGGTGATTATTAAAACGAATTCTGAAACTTGTCTCTGTTTGATACCCGGACCTGTGGTGCCTTCCCTTCGATTTCTATATATATATATATATATATATATATAAGGGAAAGAAGTGGATACATAAGGGCCTGTTTTTCCGTGTTTTGAGACAATAATAATGAATTTTAACAGACGATAATGCCGAGGAAAGTATAGGGAAGGTTATTAGACCAAATTGTAAGTAAATGTGAAGAAAGAAAAGTGGGTGAAAAGATAACTTGCAGTGGGCAGGAACCGAACCTGCGACCTTCGAATAACGCGTTTGATGCTCTACTACTGAGCTACCACGTCGGCTATCCTCCCAGCCACTTTATTGGGTATATATGTGAATTTAAATGTGGGAGTGTCAGTCAGCACCATCAGTAACCAAGGTGGCAAGTGTGGCACACTCTTTTATGAGCCTGTGTGGCGTCACGTAGCACGTGAACTTATTAGGAGCTGGCATCTGTCCCTCGTATACAACCTAAGGCACTAAGTCTACCAGTACAAGACCCTCGTTAATGAATATGGAAAAGAAGTGTACACTTAAGGGCTCGTTTTTCATGTTTTCACATAATATTAATGAAATCTAACAGACAATAATGCCAAAGAAGTGTAGGGGAGGTTATTAGACCTAATTGTAAGGTAAATGTGAAGAAAGAAAAGTGGGCAAAAAAATAACTTGCCGTGGGCAAGAACCGAACCTGAGGTTCGGTTCCTGCCCACGGCAAGTTACCTGCCCACGGCAAGCAAGTGGGTAAAAGTGTTCTTGAGAGTGCTCACGAGTTCATTGCGCTTGGCTGATGGGTACAGCAGGCCTCCTCGGTCAACAGCAGTCGTGAGGGATGCTGCAGCTGGAGATAGATCGTTCTTGCCTGGTAGGAGCTGCTGGCTGCACTCTGCACATTTGGTGTTTGCAACGCTTTTTCTTGCCACATATCCAGCCATGTAGAACATGAGTCTGGCATCGCTGCTTTGCACGACCATGTCTGCATGCTCGGTGACGTGGTCGTATTCATTGAGCACTTCATGTGCTTCAACAAGGTTTCCTACGTCAAGAAGCTCGTCTAACTTCCTCCGAGGAGTGAGGGCCTTTCCGTTGTCAGCTTCCAGCAATGTGTCGTCTAGACACATTGCTTCCTTTCGGTGGGTTTACCAAATTCTGGAAGCTCGAAGTGTTGACTGAGATTAAGAACTGGGAGGCAGTCGGATAATCAATGCATCCAGACATTTGTCGGACGATTCCAAACAGCCTCTCCTGGGGGTCCTGACTGAAGTGGCATGTCATCATATATCTGCAGTTCAATTTCGTCAGGTAGCGAAGAAGGTGTAGCATACTTGATAAGGTAACACGAAGCCCCTCGGCTGTACTGCGGCTTAGAAAACCTCCGGAGCCAGCAGCTGTTTCCCAATCGCCCAGGGAAGTCAAGAAATTTTGAATGCACTTCTTGTGTGTCCCTCCAGACTTAAGTGCACCTGAGCTGCACCTTGAAGTCATGGCCTCAATGAGCCTTCTCATTCTTTCCACAAAGCTGACTGTCACCGCTGTGCTCCCATGCTTTTCTTCGATGGTTGCATTGTACAAGAAAAGGCCTCTGAGGACTTCGTCACTGTAAAGCCGCACTGCATAATTTACTCTCATTTTCTCAAAGCCATTGGGATGCACGACCGATTTTCTAATATGAGGCATGGCTTTGAGAGTCGTGTCATGCTGTTCATCAAGCTTCCGGGCACAGTCAATAGAGTCAACACTGGCATGGCCTTCTGGCAGTTTCATGCCCGTTCGAACAAAAGTGTTCCTCACACATATAGGAAGGTGTGGGAAGTCCTATAAGTGCAGAAAACGTTCTGGGTCTGTAGGGTGCAGCCTTCTACAGACTGTGTTTCTTTTCCTGCCGTGTATGCCGAATGAGTGCCACATGGTTCTGTTCCACGCAGCTCCATCAGTGGTGATAAAGTCCACGTGCAGACCGGCGTTTTCGCACATGAATACTGCTTCGAGGATTATTTTGCCTAACGTCTTGGACTTCACATTGCTGTGTGATGCGTACACCCCAATAATCTGGTGCCATGTGCCTGTAAAAGGCACGAACAATACTACAAGGCCATGGTCACATGCTATGGAGCGGAGTGCTCACTCTCTGGTGTGAACTTCTCGAGATCCACAAAACCTTCGGTAGTGCCATCGGGTCCCAAGCTCAAGTGTTCGTGTTCGGATAGCTTAATCTCTTCAATTAACAGCCCACCATGGCGCTGGAACAAGCCCATAGATTTTGTTTTTTTCCGCCACAGCAGCCAACACTTTTTCGCTCAGGCCAAACCCACTCCTGTAACGCTTGAGATATCAACGTAGTGATGTTCGAGAAGGCAACGCCATGATGTTGTTTTTGCGTATGTGCTCATAGAAGCGTGGGCTTTTCATGGACATAATTAGGCACTCTAGAGCCCATTCACTTTCATACTTCATTATTTTTGTGGATTTTCTTTTAGCCGCTGCAAAGCACGCCTTGACTTGTTGCTGTTGCTTAATGGTGTTACGAAGCGCGCCTCCGACGACGTTACGAAGGGCGCCACAACTCTCGCCACTGCCACGACTGTTATGAAAGACGGCGACGCCAACATGGTCCCGAAGGCACCACTGCTTCGAACTCCGCCAGGAAGGTGACCAGCCGTTTGATAGCGTAGGTTTCTCAGCTCGTGACTGCTTCTGCGCAGAGCTGATAGACGAGCGTACGAGACGGCGGTGAGTTAAACAAGGTTTATGTACAGCATATATACAGAGGCGTTACAAATTCGGCACTGGGGCCGACAGTTTAGCGACTGGAAGAGCCGAGCTCTCTTCTCTGACACATAGGTCTACTACTCGCGCCGTGCCACAGGGCTTTTTTTATATGCACCGGGTGGATTCTTTGAGTAACCAAATGTCTAACCAGAAGCGCCGCTGGTCGTGAGGTCAGAATCCTTCAATGGGGTCGCCGCTAGGCCGCGTCATTCTCATCGAATCTAGAGCCGCTGCAATGCACGTGGCTGCACCCAAGGACGAGTGACGTCACCACGCATTGTGTCAGACTCGCCAGGCAGGAAGGTGCCGATTGCTTCAAGAGGCTCGCTGTACGTGCGCAACAGAAAGGCACCGCCGCGTGATGACGCCGTTGAGTTGTTCGCGTCAGGCGGGCTCGCGTGCTGGCCTTGACACAGATTGCCTTTTTCAGAGGCATGGACGCTCGGTGTGGATTCGCAGGCATAACAATGGGTAGGGCCTTCACCGCTTCTTCAAATGTTACAGAGTGATTCTGTGCATTCTTTTTGTAGTGAATAAGAAAGACGTTGATACCATCAGGTCAGCTATCATCAGCACAAGAAAAAAGGCACGAGATCGGCGATCAAGCACCGTCATCTGGGCCCGCCTGCGTTCCTTTAGAGCTACCACCCACTTGCTCAGTCCTTCAATAAACCCCTTTTACATTTGGTGGAAGTGCTGGGTGACTGCATCACCTACACCCTGGAACTCCGATCCCGCACCCTGCCGTCGACCATGAAAGTTGACGCTGCCCAACAGACAGCACCTCTCGCGGCCGCTACTTGCCCCGGCCCGGATCACCAGCGAGACCCCCCGATCTTTTCGGGTGCCGAAGACCAGGACGTCGAGGACTGGCTCTCGTCCTACAAAAAAGTCAGTGGACCAAACAGGTGGGATGACGCTGCTAATTTGAGCACCGTCAACTTTTATTTGGCTAATGTGGCCAAACTGTAGTACACAAACCACGAATCCGAGTTCGAAAACTGGGCCACTTTCAAGCAGGCAATATTCTCGGTTTTCGGTCGCCCTGCCGTGCGGAAGTTGCGCGCCGAACAACGCCTGCGCTCACGGGCACAAGAACCTGGCGAAACGTTTACCGCCTATATC